TGAACATTTGACCGCCATTATTGTTGTAAGAGCCTCCAAAACTATGAGCAGAATGAGATAATCCACTACCATTACTTGTGTAGGGTTGGTCATTGGTTCCAGAGCTTGAACCAAATTCAACAGACTGAGATGAATCTTGATCAAGAACTAAAGCTTTCCCTTTGTTAACCGCAGTACCAGCAACCATGGCAGAGCCACAATATGGGGATGGTTCAAAAGCCTGACCAATAGTAGTCTTTTCTGCCAACAATTGAGACCGGAAATCCTTGAGTGAAATAGTGGTTTCTCTGCCCCGTATGACACAACGAAAGGTATTAAATTCTGCAGGAAGACCTTTCAGAGCAAGGATGATTATATCATCATCATCAAAATGAACACCAGCAGCTGCAAGATGATCTATGGCATCCTTGATCTTTTGCAGGTATATAGAGACAGACTCAGAACCTTTCTTGATGTTTTGGAGCTCAGTTTTCATTTGAAAAATCGTAGCTTTGGTAACTGTGGAAAATCTTTCAGCAAGACTAGTCCACATTTCATGAGAACTTCGACTTCCAATGATGCAGGACATCGCCATTGGAGACAAGGTGACAATGATCAACTGCATAAGGGCACGATCATGCATCTTCCAGACAAGAACCATCGGTCTCAATCCCTTCACCTGTAGAATCATCATCAAATCGCAGAGGACATTTCCTTGAGCCGTCCACAAAGCCCATAATGCCATGACTCTCGAAGAGAAGAGTTATCTGAAAACTCCATGTGAGGTAGTTCGAATCATCAAGCTTGACTGTAACGGATGTCGAAATGGTAGAAATAAGACCAGTGATCGGAGATTGAACAATCGTTAACTGATTAGCAGTCACCATTATTGATTTTGTATAGAAGTCTTTCACTGAGACAATTGAGCAAACAGTTGGTATGCAGAAACGAAGAACAATATCGTGAAGGTGTATGGAGATCAGACGAAGCCAATTATTTCTTTTATCACACAACAGACGGCAAACTAGAGGGTAAAGAAGAGAAAGAAATGCGTTGATTGAGATGCGGAAGCGCCAGGTCGATACAAGGCAAAGATACCATGTGAAGATAGCAGCAGTAATTGTAATGAAGAGGAAGAAAACTTTAGAATTGTAAAGAGAGAAGAAGAAAGATTTTTCTGATGTATTTCTTTTTCATTGAATGTCTTTCCATCTCTTACATCTCAGTTATATATATTCATGACTTACTCCACAAGCTAGTATCTTAACAAACTAACTACACATTCTAACTACCAACAGATCCTAACAGATTCTAACATCCTTATAACTGCCCTTGGATCTTGTGACACTTGTCATCATCTAGACTTTTGAATCTCTTCACTTGAATTCTCATCTTTGGGTTTGTTTACACTCTTACAGGAGCAACTGCGTGAATGAGCCTGCATTGTAGGAGTCCGCAAAGTGATTGATCATCTGATTTTTCTCAGCCAGACTTCCATCAGAATTATACAGCCCTCCATTTCTAAGTAGCTGTCCATTTGGGTTAACAGCTTGATTCATGCCATTGTAGCTAGCACCGACCTGTACATGCTCCCTTGAAATTCCAGTCAGCTGTTGCTACCAGTTTGCTCCTTGCAGGAGGTTCCTGAGGGGGTCGACTGGTATTGGACGAGGCTTTGCCCGAATCAGCTTATCTGGAGTCACAGGTACCCATGGATCCTTGAATCGTAGATCGTCATCCTGGGGAATAAACCCCCCTCCAAACTTCATCCTTGAGTCCCTTCAATTTACAAACTCTCTCTCTTTCCACTTCTTTGTTTCATTTATCTTTTTTCCTCTATATAACACTCTGGTGTCACCCTTTAGCAGATAAGTTTTGTGGAAACAACGAAAGTGTCCGATTTCTCAGCTCATCCCCATTGTGTGAAACACCGGGTGCGGAAACACTGAAATGCAAATCCCTCCTAGCTAACATTCAGTGCAGAATATAAATACACACATTAAAGAGAATTTTTCCTCGAGAGATTGGAAAATGCAGTGCAGCATCTCAGTGATTAATGCTCGAAATCATGCAAACCAGATATTCCACAAATGGTACGGCCAACCATGTTTTGTGTCATGGAAAACATGGAAAGCATGAATGACATAGAAACCAAATTAAAGCAGGAAAATGCAGAGTAACTGAGAAATTACATATCTTCTGAATCTGTGTAAATTGGCTTATTTAATTGTGGTTTAAATGGCAACAAATGATCATATCTTGAGAAAATCCTTGTGATATAAAATGAAATGTGACCACTAATATATGCAATGCATGGATTAAGTGAATGGCTTACAAAAAAGGTTAAATGGTTCACTGCAGGCAGCTTAGCTCGCCGCCGGGCCTGGCCGAGTGTCGGAGCCGGGTGACTTGCGGGTCAGTCAATGTCGGAAAATGCAGTCAGTTTCTTCGGTAACACAGGAGATGTGTGTGTGTGTCTGTGTGTGTGTGTGTGTGTGTGTGAGAGAGAGAGAGAGAGAGAGAGAGAGAGAGAGAGAGAGAAAGAGAGAGAGATGAAAATTAGTAAGGGCACTGCAGGTGTTTACAAAGTGGGCACTGGTGAGGTTTATGAGTTAACAAAAGCTCAGAAACTGCTTTTGGTAGTTTGTTTCTTCAATTTAGTACGTTGCCTTGAATGACAATGTGGTAAAGTTCAATGTAAACTGATGCCCAAGCGCTATTACCATAACTATTTTACCATTTTTTTTTGGTCAATTTAAAAATATTGAGTTTTTACTTTTGCCTTGTCAATAGTACTACTAGACATGTCATCTAGTGATATTCCTCTTCACTTGTAAGTGAGAGAGGTCTTAGGTTTGATTCTCGTCAAAGAAAAATTTAAACCACATTATTACCTTCTCATTGTGAGGCTAAGCTCACCCTTCCAAAATAAAACAATTAATATAAAGGGATACAAAGGCTTGTTTTCCAAATTTCAGCTTAAACCATCAATCATACATTGCTTACTAAAATTAAATAAAACTAAGGAGAGACGTTATGAACAAATAAAAGACTGTCAAATTGTTACGTTGACCCATTTAATTAGATGTTGGTATAAATTTTTTATATGCTCATTCTATGGTGGTTATGTCATGTCCGAATATATTTTTGTATTATCTTTGCCTCATATGATTTAGTGGCATGAAATTACTCATGTACATAGAACAATCCTTCTAAAAACAAGGTAATGATTGTCTTGTATGTTTTTTCAGATAGTATAAATCGAAACTCTCAAATGGATATATTTTCTATCTAATAAAGAAATTACCATTTTTAAAGGGTGTATGTTGTCTATATCTACTATTGTATTAACAAATCTATAAGAATGGTATTATAGTAGGTATAGCGTGTGACTTTCATTAGTTTTGTTTTGTGTCAAAAATGATAAAGATGATATTAGTATTAAGTATTATAATGGTTCCAAAAGACGTCAGATGCTAGTCGGGTGGTGGATTGCGGATTTAAGTAAATTTATCATTGTATCATATAAATAAATACCTATTTACTCTAAAAAACTATACTTATGTTGAGAATAAAAAAAAGATAAAATGCAATAAAAGAAAATAAGCTCAGTAAGAAAATATACAATTCAAAAGCCAATAAGCTTAGTAAGCAAATTAACAAATTATATATATAGGAACAGTTTTCACAACTGAAACAATTGATTCTAATTGAAAAGCCACCTGATCCTAATTCAGTTAGCAAATTAGCAATTCAAAAGCCTTGCATTGTTAATTCAACTCTCATCTCATCCATCACGATTCGTTGTAGATAAAGAATGAGTTCAGAGGGATGTGTGTCAATAGGTTATGCACTTTAACTTAATTAAAAAAAAAACTTGAAACCGCCTAGCGTGCTGCCTACCGCCACCTAGACCACCAAGTGGCCGTCTAGTCTCTCCCCGATTTTAGTGACCGTTTTGTTAAAAATCGCCATGGAAGACTGCTATAGGTGTCGCAATATATACTATTATAATTATGTTTGCAAAATTTAGTGGCCATGATCGGCAATTATCATTTACAGGAAAGACTTAGATCAATTATAAATTTCTAAACAAAATATTTACTTGTTGTCCAGTCTTCTATTTCAATCGAACTAATTTGTTCTTGTCAACATAAAATTGGGATATTTATGTTTGGGTAAAAGAATATTTATTGGTTTGAAGGGCATTACAAAAAGTAATGGTGAACTGCCTTTACATTTAGGGTGCTCAATTCGGGAAGGGGAGTGTATGAATAAATTGGTATGCCTAGCAAGTAACATCTTTTGTGCTTGTCTCCCAACTTATGGAAAAGTGTGTTCAGAAACAATCTTTTTAAATAAATCAAGTAAATGTGAGCTTATTACTTTTGGGATTAATTTAAAACGGTAAAAGTAAAACATCAGATTAGTGCATTTCCATTTGCATTTAATTATTTGTTTAGGCATAAATAAAACGGGTTTTGCTTCTCATCCTAAAAACTCCTAACAAAAATAAAGGCCATAAGTTTTGTGTTTCCTTTTCTTGGTATATAATAAGGACCGTAAATTTGTATGTAACTACAAATCTTCAGGAAGTATTTAGAATGCAAAGCTTTCATTTCATTCTCATTTTGCATTGTCATTTTGTGGAGATCAAGCTATTGATTGCTTTGCCAAATTATAACAACAAGCCTCTCTAGTTTTGGCAGATTTGTTCATGCATCTGCATTTTAAGCTGGTATCTTCATGTATCTTGATTAGTGATTTCATTCTAATCATGTCTGTGCACGTGCATTTTTTAAATTACTATGTGACCTTGTCTTCGTGTCCTATTATTGTGAGATGTGTGCTCTGTGTGAGCCGTCTCGGGTTTAGAATGAGAGGTTAGCTCTCAACTCACTTGGTCCTTTCTTCCACAGACTTCAAAAACCCTAGCTCGAAAAAAATTTCATGAGCTACAACTGTTTTCAGAAAATTTTGAGCAAACACTACAAGACAGCACCACATTTATCACAGTTAATTCACCATTGATGAAATTGTGATTCTATGTTTAACTTCTACAGGTGCGTCCTCTGTATATTTCTATAATTTCAATTTCTGAAATATCTATTGTTTATTAGATTTTACTTTCGATATGGTCACTATTGTTTATGGTTTATAAAAAGATAAAATCTATGTTTATGGTATTGGTTTGGTTAATCTTGTATAGTATATATTTGCAGAATTATACGTAGTGGCTCTATTTAGTAGGTTCATAATCTAATCATGTGTTTTATCTTTTCTCAAGGACTCCTCTTATTATAATTTTGTCAAGAGTTCAATTGCAAAGGAATGCATGAGTAGAAAGGTTTAGAGGCAGAAACTCTATTCACTTTTCTTGATTGAGATCAAATGTATATTTCCACCTATACGAGTACCAAGATTTTTTTTCTTGTGATCCATATGCTTATGTCCATGCAAATAGAGAGTCAGCAATTGTTGAGGCTCAAGTATTAGGGGCAATAGTTCACTCTCAAGGTCCTTTGTTTGGAGATGTTCAAAGAAATCTGAAGTCTTCAAGTGTTCTTGTTATTGGAGGCATATTTGATACTTTGTGGATAGTTTGGTATTTCTAGTATAACTCATCGTTAGCTTTAGTGTGCAGTTTGTAATATTTGATTTTGCGATTTGTTTATGTAATTATTATATTGTAGTAAATTTGTTTATATATTAAATGATTTATTATTATTATTTTTTTATTTTTGGAAATTTTTTTATGACGGTCATTAGCCGTGGTCAATTTGTAATTCACAACGGCTATAATGAATGTGGTGTTAGATCACAATCTACCACGGGCACAATCCGTGTTTATTTCACATTTGACAACGGGCATAGTCCGTGGTAGAAACTAAGATTTTCTATCACATCCAGATTACTAACGGGCACAGTGCCCGTGGTGGATTGCAATCTATCATGGGCATTGACCGTGGTAGATGAGCTTTTTTCTACTAGTGAAAATTGTTTTAGACCTTCACCTATGTTGAACTTAGCTCATAGCTACTGCGCAGAGATCTTTTGGAAGAGATTCTATTTTGATTTCTTTCAATCTGTAAGGGTTCGATTGATTAAATCAGCTTTAGCTTTTTTAATTTAAATATGCACATTATTTCATTTGCATTTCTCATTGGTGCCACATGTGAAGAGCTAAGGAATCATGGCCGCCAGACGGACCCTACTTGAAGAAATTCAAGTTGCACAGAGATAAAAGCTGTTCTTTAAAATAAGTCTAGTTGGGATTAAGTTTGATAGAAATCAGAGTTGGAATTATGTTATTGTAATTTCTCTCCGACTTTTAACTCAATAAATTATTCAAAGAGTCCATTGATGGAGATAACTTTTTCTTTTTAAATTTATTATTATTAAGAAGAGGGATGATTCGAAACTATTAAAACCTCAGCCAGTAATATTTTACTATATTCAATATTGAATAAAGAGAAGTACAAAGTGTTTGGTGCACGTCACTTTGTATAAAGAGATGTAATGTCATGTAACACATGAGAGCTATCTTCCGATTGAATAGATTCCCCTTACTAGATTTGGAGTAAACCTACGTTTTTGATACGGAACTCAAACTTGAACCACATATTATGCTTAGCTTCATCTTACAGTAACAAAAAGGAAAGCAACCATTTACTCCAGCACTCAAGGATCAAGGTCCTCGAATCGACTCTACAAGCCCACAATATCGTTTGTATAAATTTTTTTTTTTTTTTTGAAATAAACTTAATAAGATAAAAATGAAATACAAATGAGGGGGACATAAAGTCAAACCTCACTGATGGAACTAACATAGCAAGTAACATGATAAGGGAACCCCACTTACAAAGAAAACATATGAAAAAAAATCATCTGAAACGATAGCTAGTAGAAGCAGAAAGATCATAAATATAAGCAAACGCTGCACATGAAGAAACGTTGGACCACCAGTAACATGCATCGTGATTTGCACCAAAGTTAGCTAAGGCATCAGCTACACAGTTGCCCTCGCAAAAAATATGGGAAACAAAAACATGCATATGCCTAATCTGCCACAAGCAATTGCTCCAATCAACACGCAAATACCAAGGAATAGTAGAACTAGGGAGAGTTTAAGTAGTGAATCACCGTAGTTGAGTCCGTCTCCAACCAAATGTGATGGCGTTCAGGCACCCAGGCAACTCGAATAGCCTCAATTATAGCAAGAACCTCAGCTACAATTGAACTACAAAAATTCGTGGATGATGCAAAAGCACCCAAAGCAATACCTTGAGAGTCCCAAAATACACCACCATAACCTGCACGACCTGTAGACTTGAATGACCCATCAACATTCACCTTGATCCATGGTACCCCACCCTAGGAGGTTTCCATACAACAGGAATGAAATGTGGGGTAGAAGACAACAAAGGAGAAACACCTAAAGTCTGAAAAATAGGAGCACTTGACGTAGAAGGGACCGAAGAAAAAACCAAAGAGGCAGATTCTTTAGAAACGTAAGAATTCTCGCCTTGACATGAGCCATACATAGCTTAGCACCCTCAAAACGAATCTTGTTTTGTAAAGACCATATGCTCCAAATAGCATTACAAACAACAAGCACCCACAAACGGCAAGAAGAGGAAGACAAAGCAACAAGGAAAGGGGATGAAAAAAGATTTTCCAAGGAACCACGTTGTACATATGGTCGATTAAAAAGGAGTGACAACCAATTCCAAATTTCTTGAATAAATGGGCACTCAAAAAATAAGTGCAAAACAGACTCGGCAGCATTCGAACAAAAACAACAAATAGAAACCAAAGGCACTCCATGATGCTGAAAGTGATCATCAGTAAGAAGACGTCCATGCAAAGCTTTCCAAGTAGTAATACTTTTCCTAGGCTAAATGGAGGAATCCCAAATGGCTTTACCCCAAACCAGCTGGGAATTATGACCATTAAAATAAGAAAAAGCATCCTTAGCAGTCATGAGACCTGATGAAGAACTTGTCCAAATAAGTTTATCAACACCCGCCTCCAAAGAAATAGGAGTCGAGGTGAAAGTCTCAGCAATAACAGGAAAGGATGAAGAAAAATTAGTAGGCAATACCTAACCATTTGGACCAATAAAATCACAAACCTTAGCTTTCAAAGCGGATGCCACATGATGATGGATGCCTAAGCTATGCGCAATTGGCTCTCCAAGCGAGTTATCCATCCAAAATCGAACTTGAGAACCATCACCAATTAACCATTGTAGTTGAGGCAAAAGATCCAAAAATATTTTCTTTAGACCAAGCCACACTGAAGATTTCTTATAAGAAGAAGCAATTGAGAAACCTTTAGCCAAAAATCAAGATCTCAAGAAAATAGATGCAAGAGAATCAGAAGAAACTACATCCCAACAATGTTTGAGAAGTAGAGAACGATTCATTACTATAACGTCTCGAAGACCAAGACCCCCTTCCTCTTTCGGACAACAACATATACGCCAGGCCACAAGTGGCACACCACGATTGTTTGGGTCACCGAACCAAAAAAAAATTTCGCATCCAACTTTGAACTTGTTTTAGAAGCAAAGAAGGCCATTCATAAACCTGAAAAGCGTAAACCAATAAACTTTGGATAATAGAAGAAAGCAATTCCAAACGACCTGCCTGAGACAATAAGGCACCTTTCCATGAGGCTAACTTTATCCGCACCCTATCTGTAATAGCTTAGAAATAAGCTGTTTTGGCCAACCTTGAAAAATAGGTACCCTTATATAAGTGAAGGCAAGGACCCCAAAGTTACCCTAAGAGTACGGAGAATGGAAGTTTGACGCGGGCGAGCGAAACGACCCAAAAAAGCAAGTGACTTGGCCCTATTAATAAATTGCCCTGAATTTTTACCATACTCCTCAACAAATCTCATTAGCATCTGTAGATTACGCTTAGTGTCTCGCAAAAAAACAATTATATCATCTGCGAATAAAACATGAGAAGGGAGAGAAACACCTTTTGGAGCAGACATTGGAAGTAGTTTACCTTCCATCACAAGAAGCGAAAGACCTCTACTAAATACCTCTTCCGCTAGGCAAAACAAAAGAGGAGACAACAGATCCCCCTGTCGAACACCTTTAGAGCAAGAAAAATAGGCTGAGAGAGATCCATTGATCGATATCGAAAGATAGGCAGAGCATAAAAGAGCCTGCACCCAGTCCACAAAAATATTAAAAAATCCAAATGAGCGAAGGACCCACAGTAGAAAATTCCAATCTATAGTATCAAAAGCCTTCTTAATGTCAAATTTTATTGCAACATTCCCACCAAAGCATTTAGCATCAAGAAGATTCATACATTCAGAGGTTAAAATAATATAATCAGAAATTGAACGACCCCTTGTAAAAGCACTTTGTTGAGGCGAAATAATACGAGAAGTGATAGGCCTCAAACGATCAGCAATAATTTTAGTAATAATATTGAAAGAAAAATTGGCAAGGGCAATGGGCCGCATCTGGGAAACAGAGTCAGCATTTGGGATCTTAGGAATAAGCACAATCATGTTGGAATTGAAATGAGGAAGGACCAAACCATGCTTAAAAAAAACTACAAACAACACTAACCACCTCTAAACCCACAATGTTCTAGCAATTAACAAAAAAACAACCTCCAAAACCATCCGGGCCAGGCGAACTAAAAGAATCCATTGAACAAATTGTTTTAAAAAATTCCTCTTCTGATGGAAGAACAGTGAGGGCAAGATTATTATCCACCGAAACTAATTGGGGGATAACGCGCTCCACCAGACCTGTATTAACCACATTATTATCAGCTGCAAACATGTCAGAAAAATAAGAGATAATATGATCCTTAATAGCATTTTGATCCTCCAACATCACATCCCCGTTACGAATGTGTGAAAAAGAATGATGATGCTTCCTATAGCGAATCATGGAGTGAAAAAAAAGAAGTATTGCGATCACCATCAGATAGCCAACGAACACGAGATTTGTCCCTTAAAAAAATACCTTGAATCCGAAGGGCGTCATGAGCCTTTAAACGCAATTCCTCCTCCTTGGACAATCTATCATAAGTAGGGCCCAAAGTATCAATTTCATTTTGAATATGATCAAGATCACTCATGGCAGAATCCACATTCACATGAATATTACCAAAATATGACTGGTTCCATGTTTTCAAATTTTGTTTCAAGTTGCGGAGCTTAGCGGATAACACAAACATTGGAGTCATGCCAAACAGTGGCCACAAATGTCATAAAATCAAGATACTTGAACCAAGCTCTTTGAAAACGAAATGGAGATCGAGCAACCACCTCCACCTTTGAAAAAGACAATAATAAAGGATAATGATCTGAACATAAGAGCGTGAGAGTAGAACATTCTGAAATAGATCACATATCGATCCAAGAAAAATTGCATAGGCACCGATCTAAACACATCTCAACTTTCCTGTGAACCCCATGACCCCAAGTGTATGCTAACCCTTTCGTAGGAAGGTGGACCAATTCACAAACAGAAGACATCATCTGAAATTCAGAGCACGAGTTAGCATTTGGCAGTACACCCCCGCGCTTCTCATGAGCACCCAAAACACAGTTGAAATCACCAATGACATCCCATGGACCATTAACAAAGGAAGACTTCACATAAGTAAGATCATACCATAACTGACGTCGTGCAAACACCGTTGTTTTAGCATAAACACAAGTAATAATACAAAATACTGAGTCTAAGA